TAAAACAGATAGAATTTAGGCTATTCATCTCTACTTTTCTTCTTATCCTTAAAAAATCCTAAAGAAAGGCGGACAAAAGTAAACTTAAAAATGGGACAAACAAGTGGCAGTTACTTGACATCGATGAAACAGTCAAAGATTGGTGGCAAAGATGAAACTATTGAACAACTCGGACTCATTCAACAAATGTTGGTCGCTAAGACTGAAACAGTGGCTAAGAAATTGAGAGACGATGCCATTGAAGACAAACGTTTTCCAGTAAAAGCAGTGGTTAAAACAGTAGGAAAGCAGTTGATCGCCACTGGAGACAAGGCGTCTGTTGAAGAAATCCGAATGTACGTACGTGAGGTCTGTCGTTCTGAATTTGTCGATGGTCTGATAAAAATGGCTTGGAGAGATGTAAATGAGCTACTTCAGAACACAACTGGGAATGAAGCAGAGCGAATGGCTTCTCAACTGGTTATATCAAATAGCAGTGTCCTTCGAGTAGACTTCCATGTCTATAAATTCGCCTTTAGCTCTGAAGGTTTGAGGGACAAGTTTGAATGTGCCATTTGTTATGTAGTGCAGCTTGGAATATTGAACCTGGAGAAGGCTAATTTGAAGGAAGTCAAGGAAGAGCTTGAAAAATGTATAACAAACATAGAAGATTCTAAGTTTCTCCGAGAACTAATACTCATGGGTGACTTATTCAGAGAAATCACTCGCCTTCAAATTGATAGAGGTGGTGGCGAAGAGAACAGTACCAACTATGCGTGGGACGACATTGTTCGTTACTTTGCTGATCTGTCAATGTTTAGAAACTTTTCGAAATGGCGTGCTTTCACACGCTTATTGTTTCAGTCGGTTTAGATCACTTTTGCTATCGGACGATTCCAGCAGCTGAGGCAGATTGATACTGGTTTTACGGAACACCGAGACTGAGACTGCAAAGCGAGCAGGAAACCTTGTAGTGCGGTGATTAGTAATCGGCTCCTGATTAATTGCAGTACTGTACTGAACTCTTCATGGAACAGTCATTGTCGCTTCGACAGACTGCTTAGCTAACTGGTTATTTATACTATTGTGCCTGTACAAACTATACAACACCAGTCGAATCAGTCACTAAATGCTCACGCCACATTTCCATTTTGCACTATTTGAAAGTCTGTTGATGCATGAACACTAATTGTATTTCAGAAACTAGCGTAAAAAAGACCGGCCTAAAGTTCATTCATATTTTTTTATATAGTGCCATTGGAAGTATGTTGATTATTTTTTCCATGGCGTTTCAGCGAAGCTCCTGATGTTAATGCGGCATTAAAGTAATAAGTTAATAGTCCTCTGTTTTTTTTAAAATGTTTTTTAAACAGGTTTAAGTTATTAACTCGCTGTGACGGTTTGCTTATAAGAGATTTGTTTTTCTTTATCTTTTTAGGGTGCTAGCAAAGGTCCAAATTTTTCAAGGCAACATTAATTATCCATTTCGTTTGAACAGTGAAGGTCTCATTGATGTGATCTATCGCACTGCAAATAAATAATAAGCTAGGGCGAAGCTAAAAGCTGAAATGGTAATTTTTGTTTTAATTCTAATTAGCCAGGGTTATTATTAAGTTTACTGAATTAGCCACAGAAGTCTGCTCATGCATTAGTGATTGGTTTGTACAGGGTAAATTGCAAAATCGATAGTTCTACCTTCTGTGTTTGCTCATGCAGTGGTTTAATTTGTTTTTTTGGTTTTGTTTTTAATAAAATGCCTCAATGCGATGAAGGCAAAAGTACTTTTTTCTTGAGCGCTCGATGCATTGCATATTCAGTCTGTTGTCGTGTGAAGCTAGTCAAATTGTTTTCGATGATTCTGCTAAATATCCCTGTTGTAGAGAATGAAAACAGGTCCAACTCTGAACTGTCAAGAACACCACAGATGTGGTAATTCCTCTCCCCCTTAAATGAATTGCTGAAGATTAGAATTTTACTTTCTGTTATTCAATTTGCGTAATAAAGGAAAGGGAATCAAAAATAAGAGTGAAGAAACAACTTTCTAAATGTTACCAAAAATGATAATTTGCTTATTCCAGCGGAAGACACCTAAATGCAGATAATAGGAATTCATCTTAAAAATTTTACCACACCTTAATGTCGTGTTCTGAGCTTGAAGCGGAATTTTAGTGGTTAGTGTTCCTGGTTACAGACTCTAACAGTGTTTGTTCTTCCTTAACAACTGAGCAGTAGAATTCGCTCTGAATATCTCCATGGAAACAAAGTGATGCATTTCAGTAGTGTTCAGTATTAAAGAAAAAGCAAGTAGAAAAGTAATCATTGAAAAGACGATGTGAATATATTTAAGCATATATAAGGACCTAAAGAGTGATTTTGATAGTACTAATGCATATTGCCAAAGACTTCGAGGAAGAAGGTTAGGGAAAGTTCATTTAATATGACAAGGGGGGGGGGGGGGGGGGAAAAAATTTAAAAATAGGAGGTTGAAATTTGAGGAGCCCCCCCTCGTGGGGTCAACTTTTTTTTGGGGCCCCCCCCTGGGCGGGGGAAAAAATTTCAGAACCCCCCCCCCCCCCCTCTCACTCCCTTTTCTTCCCCACAAAAAACCCCCTCACACCTCGCTCATTATCTTTCTGTTGTCATTCTCCATTTTTTTGTAATAGTTATACA